AGGAAACACACAGCCAGGCAGACGAGCTCCGAGCCAGCTACCATGCCAGAGGACGAAGAGAGCAGCTAGTCACAGTCAGAGAAACAGGACCACACTGGAAAACAGGCCGATCTCCAACATCTATAAACAAGGGTGTTGATGGAAGCAGCACAGCTGATGTTTCTTTCCAGGATGGCGTCACAGCCAAACAGGAACAGACGAGGCAAAGCTACTCTGAGGAAAAGCAGAGAGAGCAGAACGTTAGAGATTGAACTAACAGATACTGCAGAATAGGAGAATAGAGAAAGAATGAAGCAGAATGATGAAATGGGGGTCCCTATGTCCTCCAGAAGTCTAAGCCTATAGCAGCATAACTATAGAGATAAATGCATTATGAATTTGTGAAGGGTCAGTTCTAAACTACCACATGCAGAAGTCATTTCATATCCGGTTACAAACAGTCAAAAACCTGCAAAATTTTAAATATCCACAATAAAATAACATGAAATAGCTATCAGTCTTTCATATATTTTTATTTTGCTTTGCTCATTTAAGAATTTTAATGAAGAATAAGTAAACTTGCAAAAACAGAAACATGAAATGGGGACAGGAGGTAAACAGCAGGACTCAGTTACTAACAAAAACAACTGAGGACTTAAATCTTGAATTATGAGCAGACACAGGTAAATGGGATGTACTAATTATCTGATGGCAGATAAACAGGGGCAACTAGTGAGAAAAGCAAGGAAGAAACTAAAACATCCTACCTAGTAATAAAGAATAAATGAATGAGAAAACACTAAGAGGAATTAATGGCAAAACAAGGATACAAAATGAAAACCCCACAACATCTATGTGATATGTATTCATATGATCAAATACAAATGGTATGATTTTAAATCATCATTTCCCTGCTATTGTTGGATATTGCATTAATAGTTTCTTCTTTTTGGTTTTGGCTTTTAGCTCAGTTTGCAGTGCAGCAGAAATGGCTGTATTACAGTGGCAGTTTCTATTTTATTTCTACAACCAAGAAGAACTGGATAAGCAGTCGATATGACTGCAAGCGTAATGGGGCAGACCTGGTGATTATAAACAGCAGAGAAGAAGAGGTTTGTATATTAATATTTGATTTATTTGACTGTTATTTTTTTAGACAACATTTTACTTCTACTCCTTACCTTTTAAAAATAGACTCATTAGTTTTGTTCCATTTAAGCTAATTTTCCTTATGGCCTGTTGGTATTTAAATAAATAAAAACCATCAAAATAATTAGTTTCATCCGGACAATTATTTTCTCTGTGGTTGGACTCCGTAGGGTGCTGCCCCAACATGTTGTAGGTTTGAAGCTTCTGTCCTTAAAATGTTTCCCTGCATTACTTTTACTTTTGTGCTTTAAGTAGTTTTAAAAATGCTAATTTTACACTTTTACTTGAGTAAAAAGCTTAAGTTAATACTCTAACTTCTAAAAAAAAGGGTTTTTAAACAGCAAGATTTCTACTTCTACTTGAGTAATAAACAATGATACTTTTGACACCTTTGTTTATTTGAACTTAAATATATTCCTTAATTTCTCAGACAATGTTGTCTTCTGCTCACTGAAGTCTACGAGATGACTATTTGATAGGACCATGCCTGTTAATGAAATGTGATCACACTCTTTGTAACTTATGACCATTATGGAATATTAATTGAATGCTGTTAACAAAAGCTTTAAGTTTTATGACTTTTTGGAGCATCAGCCTGTATTTTTATTTTTTTCACAAGTGATCAAGAGAAAAATCTTTCCAGGAATTCCAAATGTCTTACAAATGTTGCTGTAGATGTTACGAATCTTGACTATCAAACAATTAATTACTTATTTATATGTTTGTGTTATGAAGCTATTTACAAGGAATTTTAAAAAGAAGGCCTGGATTGGTCTACATGACAGAATAAGAGAGGGAAACTGGCAATGGGTGGATGGGACTGCGCTAACAGAGAGGTTTTTCATTGTTTAATCAAATTCAATCATGATAACACTAGTATCTTCAAAAATCTGCTCCAAACTATACATATAAACAATGTTGGTGTTCTTTGGTTTCAGCTACTGGAAGTCTGGAGCGCCGAACCATTATATGGGCAGAAATGAGGACTGTGCAGAGATACAGAAATTCGATTCTGAAGAGAGCTGGAACGATGCTGCATGCGAAAACGAAAACTACTGGATATGTGAAAAGATCTTTAATTTTAATGGATGACTTTTCGGGAAAGTGTGTAAAGTCTGATTTTTTTTTTTACAGAAGTTTCTTATGAAGATATGCTTCAGTTATTCTTTGATCGATTTCGTCATGGATGTAATCAGTACAGTGCAAGAATGTGACCACTGAATTTATTGCCATACTCCTTGGTGTTCCGCTCATGAGTTATCTTAAAACTTTTATATTAATCTCTTTGCAATATATAAAAATAAATCAGATTTGTCTCATAAGATCATGGCAAAAAAAAGAGCCTCAGTACAGAAAATCAGCTGTTTCATTTAACGTTCATGATGGTGTACTTTTAGTTTGCACACACATTTTTGCTCCAGATTAACACTATTCTAAGAAGGGGCTTAATTGGTGTGCTGCATTTGTGAAGGAAAAAATCCCAACTGAATACTCTTTCAAAGAGTTTCCCTCCTCATGGGGCAGGACATTTTTATTCAGACTATAGGGAAGATGTAGAAGAATATCTAAGAGCATTTGTGATACCCTGGGTGGTAGCAGTGTGAATGGACAGTATGCAACTGAGAAGCCGATATGCAGATTCACAATGTTTACCTTAAAGGAATAGTACACCCAAAACATGATTAGCCTTCATTTTCTATTCACCCCCATGCTGAACAACACTCTGGAGTACTTTTTTGATATCTCAAATGCATCTGGAGATCTGGGAGGCTTCTTGCTGTCTGCTGACATTCAAATAATGGAGGTCTATGGTGCCCGAGACAGAAAGATCCATAAAAGTCCACAAAAAACGTGTCAATATTCCTCCATACTGCTCGTCCAATGTATTCCAAGTGTCCTGAGTGGGTAGCGTCCATAATTTACTCGAAAAGAAGTCATTTAGAATGTTTTTAGAGCATAAACAGTAGTGTATAGGATTTCCTGAAAGCGCGCGCCTGTGAGTTCACGGCGCTACGGAAGCCGCGGCAGACCAAACCAGATGAAAGTGCGTATTCAGCTCGGCAAAGAACTCATGCTCTTCCTCAACACTGAAGTCCTCAGACATTTTTCTTTCGTTGTTTCTTTCTTTGCACAGGTAAACAGCACATTTCTTCTTCTACGCTTGCATTATCGGCAGAGCAGACGCTGAATGCGCACTTTCATCTGGTTTGGTCTGCCGGCTTCCGTAGCGTAGTGAACGCGCAGGCGCGCGCTTTCAGGAAATCCTATACACTACTGTTTATGCTCTAAAAACATTCTAAATGACTTCGTTTCGAGTAAATTCTGGATGCTACCCACTCAGGACACTTGGAATACATTGGATGAGCAGTATGGAGGAATATTGACACGTTTTTTGTGGACTTTTATGGACCTGTCTGTCTCTGGCACCATAGACCTCCATTATTTGAATGTCAGCAGACAGCAAGAAGCCTCCCAGATCTCCAGATGCATTTGAGATATCAAAAAAGTACTCCAGAGTGTTGTTCAGCATGGGGGTGAGTAGAAAATGAAGGCTAATCATGTTTTGGGTGTACTATTCCTTAAAGAGCCAAATTAGATTTCAAGATTTGTCATAATCAAAAAAACATCTGAATTGTCTTTTTGGAGTTTCTGAATATTGCAGGGTGGTCTAAGTCATGTCTAAGGAGAGCCTCGAAACCAAACGAATAATCTCAAACTGATATATAAATGATATATAAAACTGGAAGGTTCAAATGTTTATATTTTACCCTCAGTGCTTTTAAGAGTTCAATTTTTTTGGTTTTCTGTTTTATGAAAAAGTTACAAGAGGAAAACCATAACCATGATTCTTTGTTGGAGTTAAGTAACTCCTTAGCAGCCGGTTTTGAATCATTAGATAAACACACCTTTTAGAAAGTCCAAGGGATCCTTTCAAATTAAGAGCATGCCCAAGTGTTTTGAGCTGGATTTAACTCTGCTTGTTTTCTAGTCTTTAAAAATGCATACAATTATTATCTGACATTTTTCAGATGTATACGCCACTATAAATAAATTTAGTGTCAAAATAAAATGTTGACTATAATGTCCCAATAACTTGTACTTTGAAAGGTCCTGCACAAACATTTGATTCTCTTATATTAGGTATTCAATAAGTCAAATATGTGTGATGTGTCCAAAATTCACCCCAGCAGAAAAATTGGCACTTAATTTAACCAAAGGGAGGTCTGTTTTAGAAAGGATTCAGGGAGGGACAGGATCTTGAATCATTGAGCCAGTCCACTTTTACATCTATGCAAATGAACATGCAGTCAGCATCACAGATCTTAAGCATTAAAATGAGTTTAGGTAATGTAATTAGGATAATAAATGTGTCTGACAAACCCAACTCACTCTTACCTGAAAACCTTTAATCTTAATGTGTGTGCTGTCCAGCACACAGTTCATTTCTTTCATTTGTAGCTCAATTCATGTTTACTTCAATACTTTAAAAATCCCTCCTTGATGTAATTCATTCTTCTGTGGCTGGGGAAGGTTATGAAGATGTATTTTTACACCAAATTCACACTCCTGGTGTGGCAAATATGAGCTTTGCTAAGATTTTCAGATTCTCCTACAGCGAACATGCTAGCGATGCACCCTTGTAATGTACAGGGAAAATTTTGTATGGACAACATTGTAAAGACACGTTGGAGCTACTTTTGACTACTCAACACACGCAATATAGTATAGGCCAGTCTATACACAGAACAGGGTTCGTCAAACAAAAATTCCCAAATTAAGACCACTTGGAAAAATATAAATGGTTTAGGATACCATTTACTAGATAACTTTACTAAATATATCAATTTTTAAATGTTGGCAGGTAAATATCAAAGCAGTAAAGCAACATACGTACAGCATGACACCAACTGAGCAAGTAAGGCACCAGGATTTACACCAGCTTTTAGCCTGGTCTGGAACAGGCTAGCTGCACAGAATAAATCATAAATCAGTGCTGCTGTGCTTTGTGAAACAAGACTTAAGGCAGGATATCTGGAAAATCCCAGCTTCATATAGTCAGGTCAAGATCTATAAACCTGGATTGATCCATCACAGCACTTCAGCTTCACCAAGGAATAGTCATGGATGAAACCTTTTTGTGGTACATTTGCACACCTGCAGTGGATCCATCAGCAGGATAGGCCATGTCAAAGCTCAGATCCCGTTAAAAATTAACCTGAACTAGAACACCTGCCAGTCACCAGCGCATCTACATGTGAACCAAAAATCCAGGGTGTGCAAGCTAGAAATCTGCCTTAGCTTTGTGTTGACACCATGTCAGTATAGACAAACTTCTGAAGGACATCTGTGGACTCTAATCTTTAAAGGAAATGGTTGACATTTTCCATTTAAATATTTAATATACAGTCAATCTGTAGATTGCAAAAATAAAAATTGCATCTTGTTTATAAACAAAGGACATGTTTAAGCCATTGTTTTGCATTAATCCTGCATGCACCACCACTTTATTCACCTGCTGCAGCCTTAAAGCAGAACAAACTTCCCACCAGAGCCAGCAGCACCCATTTACATTCAAATTAAACATTTATTGGATCAACACTAAAACTCCATTTTACATTCAACACGTAGAACAAGTGTTACAATCTATAAAAATATTTTCTATTTACAAAAGATTCAGCCCAGCAGCCTGAGAATAAAACCCTAAAGGTGAAGTCCAGTCAGTGTCCAAACATCTCCTGAGAGGCGTACGTCATGTAGAGGAAGCCGTCCTCATCCTGGTGGTCCTTGTACACCTGAGCCATGGTGAGGGACATGCTGGCCAACCCGCTGTTGTTTATGAGTAGGTAGAAGGCCTGACTGGGCAACAACGCCATCCGGTTCCTGGGAGGGCAGAGACACCAAGGCAGAGGTCAGCTCTCAGGAGGGTATTGCATCAATTAATCTACAGCACCACCTGGTGGCCACACTTGGAATATATCAGCCCAAAAAATTTAGATTTCAGAGAATTTAAGATTAAACATGAGTGGTTAAGGACCTCATGATCAAATTCAGTGCATCAAGAAGAAGCATTCAGAATATTTGTCACCAGCTTTAAAAAAAACAAGCCAGAGATTTCTTTCAGGAACTGAGCTTTAAAAGTGCTCCTATTTTTAGAAACATTGAGATAGTTTTCAGCATGCAGCCTAGTAAGTCAGGCAACAGGGCTTTTAAATATCCAGATCATTATAGAACCATAAACACCTGTAAAGTTTTAAGGAAAGGGCCACTAAGTGCGTCAAAAACCTCTTAAAGAATCAAGATTTAGAAAGGAAGTTTTATCTCATGCTACCAACCTTTTTTTTTTTTTTTTTTTTTTTTTTAACTATAGCAAATCCCTAAAGGAATCAAGAAAAAAAACTCAAACAGAGTAACTGATCAGCTGAAGAAATGTGCTCTGGATCCAGAAAGAATTAAGATGACACAGACATTAAAGTCTGGCTGCCTGGAAGGAACAGGCTGGAGTTAAAGACATGAGCCGTGTTCTTCTAAGAATCTAAGGCAAAACAGAGGCTCTGCTTGATCCAGACCTGGTTTGGACTGATTGATCAGTAACCGACGTAAACTGTACCATCACATGTTCTCCATTAGAGCCTGCAGCAATCTGGACTGATTCACCAAAAATTTATTTATGCAGAGTCACCATGAGCTGGTCAAAAAGAGGAAGACTGGAAATGTGTGGTGATTCAACCCACCAGCAGACCAGAACTACTTTCTCCAGGTTCTGAAAAAAGTTCTATCCTAGAACAGAACCTAGCAGAACACATCCATCAGATGAGTCGATTTATTGAGAGGTCAGGACCTTTCCTCATTGACTGCAGGAATTGATTTTAGAAATCAGTCCTAGATAAGAAAAGGTGGCTGACAGTTCATCATGCTTGAGTAGAAGGACCAGAACCAGCCAGAAACATCTGGAATCAGTCTAATCAGGTGAGGGCTGGCTCCTCATTTTACAGGAATTAAACCTTTCCCTTTAGCTGCATGCCTGCCTGGCATTCCAAGAATTCCCAAAACACAAAACTTCAGGATCCAAGCTGCATCTAAAACTTCCATTTGATTCAATAGTCACATTATGCGTTCAAACATGCATGATCACGCACAGCCTCAAGCACGCACCTGATGATGGTGACGAACTGGGTCATGGTGAGTTCGTGCGGCACCAGGAACTTTGTTTTGTCCAGTGGAGGGAGGTACTTTTCCTTCTCGTAGCGTTCAATGATCACCTGAAGGTCAGAGAATCCAGGTGAGACCAAACCAACACCTCACACACACTCCTCAGTCACTTAGGAACACTCACCGGAATTTTATTGGGGAATTTGGACCTGATTCCCGCCACCTCATGTCTCCTTGTAGCTGCAGAGAGAAAAAAAAAATTAAACAATCTGTAATTTATTTCTGTCCAATTTTCGCGGTTCAGGAAACCCACCGAAGCTCTTCCTCTGTTTGAACGGTTTGTTCTGCTGCGGGGTTCTGTCGAATGGAGGCATGCTGACTGCGGACCGCAGCTCTGCGCAGCCGCTTTTAAATGTGGGCGGCTGCAGCGCATCAGCTGATTAGCGCATGGACGCAGACCCGCCGCAACATCTGCGGTTTTAAATCAAGCTGGGGACGCAGAGGAACAGGGCCGGAGGGAAGGCAGCCAGGGGCTAAAGGGGCCCCAAGATTTTTAAATAACTTTATACTTAGGAAAAGGGCTGGAGGGATGGGACCCAGGGGCCAATGGGGCCCCCAGATTTTTTGAATAACTTCTTACTTAGGAACAGGGCCGGAGGGAAGGCAGCCAGCAGAAAGGGGCTAAAGAGGCCCCAAGATTTTTTAAATAACTTCTTACTTAAAATCTGTTGACTGCATTAAGTCACTAATTACAGAAAAGCGTTTTTTTTTTAGAGCAGAAAGAAATAAGAGAAAGTTTGTTTGATAATATTTTATTGAGAATTTAATCAGTTCTTAAGAAAATATTGTAAAACTCAATTTTATATCTGTTTAACTGATTGTGAAATATACTTAAATCATATTTGAATATCAAATCATTCTGGCTTAATCATGTATATAAATGTGCTATTTATCAGACTATATGTTCCCAAAATTTAGAAAATTTCTATTTAAAAAAAAAAATCTGGTCTTAAAATCTGTGTTATTTTTTTTCTCTTATTTTATGCAGATCAGTTAATTATACGTCAGCTTGTACACCTCAAACGGCTCAGCTTGCACGGCTCAGACATGTACAGCTGTAAGCCTTTTACATCAAACTAAGCTTCTGACGCCCTGGCGTCCTCTTCCACAACATCGTCGTCCCCGCTTCTCCTCTAAATAAAAAATGCATGACAGAGGAGACTCATCCAAGACCTCCGACAAAAAACTCTCCTCCTCTTGCATGTTTGCGCTGTCCATAGCGTTCCTTGACAATGTCGTTGCTAAGTGCTACTTGGTCCCAATGTAATTTTAGCTAGATGCTTCCGAGACACCGGCCACAACCAAACTGGCTTACAAATCTGCTAAACGACCAATTCGGAAATGCAACAGTTGGAACAGTCGCTGCGGATATGATTTATATAGGGAGAAAATGTCTTCTAATCATCAAAAACACAGTTGTGGCTTCCACCAAGCAGATCTTTCCCTCTTCATATTTCTCCTTATGTTAGCCACTAAACGATTTGAAGGTTCTAATTCTCAGTCAGTGAAACTAATTTTCTATGAGTCGACCCAGAACTTTCATGTTAGAGATGTAAAGAAACATCTTGTGTTCTCTAGGTTTCTGATAACATCCCAACAAAATTAAACAGTCTTTAAAGTCTTTAATTAGCTTTCAGAACCATCAGTGGCCTTGACTGGTCCGTGTGTCTGCAGTAAGTTTCATGAACTGAAAAAACAGCTCATTTTACAAGCAGTTGTAAAGGCATGTGTGGGAAACAAAAGTAATAATATTTACCTTTTAACTTGCGCAATGCACCTTTAACAGTCAATAGATTAATGCAGAACTGATAGGCTTTTTTTCCTGATGGCTCCAGGGTTTAACGTCAGAGTAAATGAGATCATGAACAGCTCTACGCAAGTAGGTTTGATCCATATCATCTCTTTCATCCATATATCATCCAGATATATAGATGAAGGATGAGTTCATTTTTCAGCATCACAGTTCAAAGCTCTAGGATAAGGAGGAACACAGACGCAAATCTGACAGGAACATCTGTGAGTTCATCTGTGGATAAAAGCTCTCCAACAAAGCCCAGTTTGTAAATATCAGCACGGCAGAGGAAAACTTGATGTTGAAACTAGATCAGCAAACGCCTAGTTTTACAGTGTGAAAATTGACCCAGTTTTCCAAAACAGAACAGGATAAATGTCCTGGTTACGATGGAAAAGCTTCTGAAAAGATTCATTATGATCTCATCTATCTGTATCTGAAGACCCACTTCTGCAACAGGGATGTATTCCGTCTTATAATCCGCTTTGGCATAGGCTTTATTAGAATACATTTTAATAGAAGTAGTTCTAAGTTTTGTTTCCAGGACTGATCCATTCATGTTCTTATTTCACAGCTGAATTTTCAGAACTTCTTGTTCATTTCCAGAGTTTATGAGATAAAAAACTTATCTTAGGTGGACTATGTTATGTTTTAGTTAACATGTTCATATAGTCTTTTATGCTGGTTTCCAGTTCGGAATGAGTAGTGCATGGAGGCAAGTTTCTGTTTCTCGCCCAGATGATTGAATAGAGAGACTTCTGTGTTAACGCTGCTCACATTAAAATGGTTTGTTTCAGTAGAACCTGCAGCACAGTTTAGGTTCCTATAAAATAATGAAGGCCTTCAATGTGCAACGACTTTATGTTTCATTAGTGGATAACATCTAAAATATAAAGATATCTGGGTTTTACTTTGTGTCTCTGATGAACAGAACATTTGGGAAAATCCAGAACTCTGAGTCCAGATGTAACTGAGAGATAAAGTAACAGAAGAGTAAAGAACTGCTGAGGTTTTCTGCTGATAATCGACCAGGAGTCCTTCTTATCAGTGAGGCTCACATACCGATGTGCTACAGAGCCCTGTTATTACAAAACAGGTCAATTCCTCATTGATTTACAGTGACAGTAGCGCCACAGTGAGGCCCACAACACAACTTTACCATTAATCACTATATTTAACGTAAATACTGAGGTCTGTGGGGACTCTTCGCATTGAAAGGTTTCGGAAAAGTAAGAAATAACCAGAAAAGAGATAAAGATTTAATAAAAAATTTTTAAGTTTGTATAAATTTTTAATTTATCCCTCCATTTTGTTTTTTATTGCTTCAACCTTTTTACATTAGGCCCTATTTTTCTCATTTGTTTTCATCTGACTCGTGTTTCGGTTACATATCTCTATGATTCATCTTTTATTCTATTATTGAAGAACATTTTACTGAAGGAGAAGAAAGTACATGAATGTGTCAATCAACTGCGTTTGGCCAATCAGCTGTGAGGATTTAAGGTAGTAGGCGGAAGGAAGAGTATGACGTCATTACAGATGTAAGTAAAGTTATGATAGACTACTGACAGGACAGTCGGAAATGAAGCGATTGTACCTCCAAAATAAAAGTTTGAAAAGTATGTAAATCAAAAGCTGCCTTTCAGTGGCTTAGGGAGACCTTTTGTTGAGAGGCTGGATGTATATCTCAGGGGGGTCTACACACAAAATTATTTTGTTCCTCAAATAATTAATTATAATCTGACTAATAAAGCATTTATATTTAAGTGCATAGATACAAAGCAGAGGAGGTCGGTGTATGTGTATTCTTCTTCACCGGTCTTTTCTTCTGTAGCTCTTGGATGTTGGCAAAAAAGTACATGTTTACATCACCACCACTATATATTAGTGAGGTTAATGATAGTTTTGGACTTTAAGTGTGTATACGTCTAAAACAAATGTAAAATCAAATGCACCATGAAACGTAACATCTGCACGTTATAATATCAATTCCTTCAAGTTGTATTAAAGAGATAACTTGTAATTATTTCCCCCCCATTGCTAAATTTCTGTTCAATTCAAATAGTTTTCCTTAAAATAAGAAAATGTACTAATCGTATAGGAGCTGCATAATGCTGCCCAATGAGATTGAATGTTTAGTAAATTATTTCATGACCAGTCCTCTGGACTGAAACATTAATGAATGCAGATCGAAATTGTTATTTTTATATATAGTGGTGCTTGAAAGTTTACATATCCTCTCATTAAAGAGAATGATGAATTCATACTAGTAATTCCAATAACACAAAACTCAAAAAGTAAAAAAAAATATTACTAAATGTTAATCTAGTAAAACGAAATATTGATTTAGATTTTTTGTTTAAAATAAAAATTCTAAAAAACAAAATGTCCCAGAGAATTGAAAGTACCTTGCCCATTAACAGTAAACCAACATAAAGGTCAACAGGTGCAGTCTGACTCAACATTTCCTTATATA